CCCCTGTTATTTCTTCTAAAAGTGTTTTATATGGTCAACTTCCTGATTATATTGTTTTTCATGAAATAGTAGAAACTGCTTATAAAACAATGGTTGATGTTACTCGTGTAAATTTTAAATGGCTTGAAGATGCTTCTCCTGATTTCATTACTTCTTTTGAAAAAAAATCTTTTAATTAATTCTTTTTTTTATTTTATCTTTCTCTCTACAATTAATAATTATCAACAATTTTTCATTATCTTTTTGATCTTCTTTTTTATATATTTCTTTTTTTATTTATGTTTTTTTTTATTCAAATTAATCCTATCTTCTATAATTTTATTTTATATCATTTATTGTATGTTCATAACTAATAAACAACATTTAATTAATTTATTAAGTCATTTTAAATTCATTTGTATTAAATAGTAGTTAAGATGAGTTTATATTTATTATTTTTTTCTTCATTATTTATTCTCTTTCTTTTTTATATTATTTGTTTCATTTTTATTCTATTTGTTTTTGAAAATATATCAAAAGAGGTAATAACAACTACAAATATATCTTGTTATGTCTGTTTATATATTTTCTTTATTTCTCTATTAAACATGGTATATTATTTTTTTATACATATTTGATAATTTATATTTTGTAATAAACATATTTTCTTGTATTATTATATATTATTTGTATATTCTATTATTCTAATTTCTTTATTTTATGTATTCTTTCTTCTTTTCTTCTTTTTCTATTGAATTCTTAAAATTGTTTGTGATTTCTTATTCTTCTTCTATTTTCTTTTGTTATTTTCTATCATTTCTTTTATTTATTTCTTTATCTTTTTTAAATATTTATGATGATCTCTTATTTTATTATATCATGTAGTTTTAATACTTTCGATTCTTTTATTAAATCATCATTATCACTTCTTTTTGTATTCTATTTATTTAAATTAAACTTTTATCATATCTCTTACTTAAATTAATTATTCATAATTACTTATCATTTATATTCTTTATGAATCAGTTATTTCTTTATAAAATCCATATCAAATTAAATATTTCATTATTCAGTATATTCCTTTTTCTTCTTTTATTTTTATTATATGATAATTTTCAATTTGTATATTCTTTTGCATTTCTCTTATATCTTTAATTCGTTCTTAATTCATTATTTCCTTTACACATATATCTTGTATATTGATATTTTTTTCTTATTATTATAATTATTTGATTTTTATAAACTCATAATTATTATCATTTTGATTAACTTGTTATACCTTACTCATTGAATATTATTGTCTCATTTCTTAATACACTAATAAGTTTTAATGTTATTTATTACTTATTCTCTTTTTATATCATTTCTCCTTTTATATATTATTTTTATCTTCTTCTCTTATTCATTTTACTACTTAACTTGAATTGTTTCACTCCTATATTTTCTATTTTTATTATTTTTATTCATTTGAATTTATATTTGTATTTATTGTTTATTACATTTATGATAATTTGTAATCGTATATTCAGAGTTTCTAATCCTCATTTTTATTTTATTATTTATTTACTTTTTCTATATTACTCTTTCTAAACATAATAATCGATTTTAATATCTTCTTGAATAATTATTCCTCAGTTTAATTCTTGTAACCTATCTTATTTTTACCCAATTTCTTTACACCCTCTAATTCTTATCTTTTAAATCTATCATCATATTAAATCAACTTTATTTTGAATATCTCATTTATATTTTAACTATTTTAAACAATAACCAAGAAATTTAAAATATATTAATTCCATCACACACAATGAAAATCATATTCTCTTAAATAAATAGTTCATTGGCTTGTGTATAATTTGAATTATTTCTAATATACTATAATGAAAAATATCATAATGACTTATTTATTAAATAATTTTATTTTTTATTACCATCTAGTATTTAAATTTCTATCAGCACTTTCTTCTTTATTTTCCATTTAATACTTTAAAGTAATGATTTTTTATCATTAAAAAAAGGAAAATGAAAAAATGAAAACTTATAATAACAAAACTTAAATGTTTAAATTTTTATGTCTATAACTTTCATTGTCACCAGTGATAATCATCTTGGATATTATGAAAAAAATTTAACACTGAAAGACGATTGTTATAAATTATTTGAACAGTACTTAAAAGAGGCAACAAAAGAAGAAGGAGCTATCTTGCTTCAGTGTGGTAATTTATTCAATGACTTAAGACCTAACAAGTCATGTGTTTCAAAGACAGCAAATCTAATAAAAAAGTATTGTATTGGAGATGCAGATATCCCTTATACAATAAAAGATGAAGCTGAATTGTCATATCCATTAAATATAACAGATCCATATATTAATGTAAAACATCCATTATTCACAATTCATGGAACAAATGATGAACCAAGTGGATATAAATTAATTGCAGGAAGTGAAATATTAGCGTCATGTGGATTAGTCAATTATCTTATTCCAAAGTCATTTGAAGAAGAAAAAGTGTTAAAACCGGTTATTGTAGTTAATGAGAATACCAAAATTGCTTTGTATGGATTGTCTGTTTTACATTCCAGTGATCTTGATGGGATTGTGGAAGACGAAACTTTTCATATAAAAAAACCAAATGGAAATGGTTGGGTTTGTATTCTTCTTCTTCACATTGGTAAAGGAGCTATAAACCAAACAACAAAGGATATTATAGAAAGACATTTTAATATTATTATTTTAGGTGGTCAACATTCATGTAATATTCCAACAGGAGAGTTTAAAGGTCCAGTCATTGTTCAACCAGGAAGTCCATTTTTCTTATCATTTGATGAATATGATGAGATTGATAAAGGATTTGCTAAGATAGTTGTTGAAAATCAAAAGATTTATATTGAAAAGAAAGAGTACAAACCGATTCACCGAATGATTAAGAAAGAAGTTTATGTCCCAGCAAAATTAAGAGAGTGGGTCAATTCTAAAGAGATTGAAGACTTTATTCAACAAGAAATGAAAAAATGTATTAAGGATGCTGCTATTAAAGAGAATGAACAAATTCTCTTAAAGCTAATAGTAAGGGATTGTAATCAAGACTGTTATCCTGACACAAAAAAAATAAGTTCATTATTAGAAGAAGATGTTGTTAATTTTACTGATTGTATTAAAGTTAAGAAATGGTACCGTCAAGAAGTTGAAATAAAAGAATTTACAATAGAAGACCTTGTTAATGAAGAACTTGATAAATATGGAGATCCAGAAAAAATTATTCGAAGAAAAGAAGTTTCTGATTGTTTAGAACGTCTTAAAACGTCTTCATCATCAAGTAATATTGAATATACTACTGATACTTG